TTCATAGCGTTTCTGAGACTGTGAATCTTTGAAAGCAGACAGCCTCATCTTTCTCTCTTGGAGTAGCTCATAGGTATGAACCATCAACTTTTCTGTTAGTCTAACATATAGCCCACAGCATCACCACGTCTCCTTCCACAAATATTACAGCCTTCTACACTGGATGGGCCACCAGTTCTCTGTCAGTCTGTCGTACGGTGGTGGCTTGTGTGTTGTTGCTGTGGTGCTATGTCATCAGTATTTCAAGCACAAGGAGAGTCACGCATGGTGCATAGGGTTCAGTGAAGCTTGCAGACAAGAACAGTCTATGAGGAAGGAATCGGCGTGTACCCTCTGAGGAATTAGCCACCAAAAACCTTAGGAATACCTGAAGGACCTTTTCAGAAACTGAAAACCTCATGAATAGCAGTAGAATACCGTCTGATATAGTCGCTGGAAGATGAACCCCTCAGCTTGGAAGGCACCCAAAATAGGATGGCAGAAGAGCTGGCTCGGATAACAGAATTTTGTAAGACCAATGACTTCATGAAAAATACCTTTTCTCAACAAAACAAATTTGTAAGGCCAATGACTTCATCAAAAAACTACCTTTTCTCAACAAAGTCCCTATGACTATACACATGGACTTCTCCAGATGACATACACAGGAATCATATCAGCTACATCTGTAGGAAAAGCCAACGAAGAAGCTCAGTATCAACAGCTAAAACCAGGCCAGGGACTGACTGTGGAACAGACCATCAGTTGCTTATATGCGAGTTCAAGATAAAGTTGAAGGAAATAATAACAAATCTGTGAAAGTCGAAATATGACTTTGAGTATATCCCACTTGAATTTTGAGAACATCTCAAGAATAGATTTGACTCATTGAATGCTAATGACAGAAGACCAGATGACCTGTGGGATGGCATCCAAAACACCATCCATGTCCTCTTCTGAAGCCAACCTGAACATCTGGCAGTTTCCTGTCACTATACTGCTGTCACCAGGGTTAAGTAATCTTCAACAAAACTTTACTTCCACGTGATATCCATGATATTGTTCAATCTCATTCAATTCACGATACTGTTCAGTATTGAGCATTCTATTGGGTCTTCTTTCTTTGGAATGGGTACAAATATAGATTTCTTTCAGTTTGTTGGTCGGGTAGCTGTCTTCCAAATTTCTTGGCATAGATGAGTGAGTGCTTCCAGTGCTTTATCAACGTGTTGAAATATTTAAATGGGTATTGGGTGAGTCTTGGTAGACTAGAGAAACAAATCCAGGCAGACTCATGTGTACAAGAAAGGGTTTTATATAAAAGAGCAATTGTATATTAAGAAAACATCTCACCTCAGTCCAGATCAAATCCATAAGTCAAATATTAGCCCATAAGTTCAATACCAGTCTGTAAATACCTCTTCAAACTCATGCAACACACGCAATCATGCCGAGTGTAGGAAGATCACGGTGGGTGGGAAGTCTTGTGGATCCAGCGGTGGTGGAAGCATCTCAGTGCTGGTATGGGTCTCCATGTGGCTCCTACAGCTCCAAGGCTCTGGTTCCATCAGCGTAACAACATGTGTCTTGTCATCAGGAATGTCGAAGCAAAGAGTGAGTGTGTCCTGCCTCCAGTGAGCTTTT